GTCCTTTGTGGTCTGCTGAGAACTCACCTGGTGCAGCAGAGGTTCTGTGGATCAAAAGTCACAACATCTGGACTCAGCTTCCAGTCGTGTGACCTGGGCAGATTGTTCCCTGAGGCTGGGCTCCCTCTGTGGAATCAGGAGTTAGCCCTGGGACTCTGGTGCTGATGGGTGTTTCCCCCATGAAAGACGTGCCACTCTCCCCACAGTCACATCAGTGGGGACCCAACAGGGCATGAAATAAGGACAGGCAGCTGCTGGGCCTGTAGTATGAGGCTGCTCTGGGTGGCTGACTTTCTCCTCACCTCGGGTTCTGCCGTGGGTACTTCTGGAGCTGTCCCAAGTCTTGCATGTGTGGCTCAGAACCACATGCATGTTCTGGGCTTGGAGGAGCCAAGGCTGACCCTGCTCCCAGGAAGCTGCAGGTCTTCAGAGCAATGGCACAGAGATGGGGTGTAATGCAGCCCACACAGGGCCTCACGTAGCACCGTGGGGGTGATGGAGGACCTGTCTTCCTTAAGGGGGTCTTCCTGAGCAAGGAGGACTTCTGGGACTTACTTGGATGTTAGGAGGAAACGCAGAGAGACGCTTAACCTGCTAAGAGTAGATTTTACAAAAAAGTGCGAAGGGAGCTGGAGGAGGAAAGGCAAAACTGGTAGGGAGTAGGAAAGAGCAGGGGTAAGGTGGTCAGAGTCAGCCCTGGTGGCCACCCACCCCGAGGGGTCTCCATCTGCCAGGTGAGTGGACTGTGGGGATTGAAGCCAAAGTGACTCTGGGTCTCCAATGGAGCTATTTTTCATGTCCATGGAGCCCCTTCCCCAGGTGCGGGGCTCTGGTTCTGTCCTAGGTTCTAGAGCCCTTGATACAGACAGAGCTGCAGGACCCAGGGCCTGACCGAGTGACCGTCTGAATGGTCTCACGGGCTCTGGTTTCTGCTAATCTATGCTGCCAATAATTTAGCTGAAGGACACATTAGATACAACACTGGGGTAATGGAGAATCCATCTCTGGGGGAATGATACTGTGAACGCAGATTATCTCTGCCACAGAGAACAGTGTTGAGACTGTGCTAATAGATTAAGCTACCAGAATGAGCATTCTGAACAGAGAGTGGTTGGGAGCTATACTGACAGACTTAGCCTGTCAATCTGTAGTGTGTGGTTCCTTTAGTCACTGTTGCCCTGTACCAGCTGAGGATGATCTCTGGACTTGGGTCACTCAGGCCAACATCCAGCTCTTGCTACTTCACAATCACTTGGCCTTAGACGAGTCGCTAGGCCCCTAGGAACTTCAGTGTCACCTTTTATAACAACGGAACAGAAATGCCCGAGCCACAGACGTGTGTGAACAGTTGGGATGAGGATAGGAGAATATTCAGGAAACTGCAGGGGGCTGGGTGGACATCATGTAACACCTGAATACAGGAGGGGTGTGCTCCATGGAAGGCCTCACGATCCTCTAGGGGCCTTCAGTGTCCCTGGCTCGTCCTCTGTGTATGGTGCTCAGAGGTGGCTTGACCAGGGATGGCACCTGTGCGGGCAGCTTCCACAGGGGTGGCAGAGCCACACAGAAGGTCCTGTGTGTGAAGCAGGCCAGGCAGCAGGCAGCCCAGACCCTGGGAACCTGGGTTGGGGTCAGGACGTTTGCAGTGCCCCATGAGAGAGCTAGAGTGTGCAGCCATCACTCCACCGGCTGAGACGCTCCTGGCAGGACTGCTGTGGAACACACGTTTACAACTGCCTCCATCACCTTCTCTAAATTAAGCTCAACCCATTGTGTTTGGAAATTTTATTGCATCCTGGGAATTAGTAATGGGTAAATTTAGTGGTGATTTTGTTGGACACACCCTAGAGCTAGAAATTGAAAAATGAAAGCAAATGGAGAAGGAGTTCTCTTTAAATAGACTTGATACTTAGAAAAGGTAATGTGGACAAACTGACATAATACCAGAGGAACCGTGAAGGAGGTGCACTCCTCAGGAAGTCTCACATGGGGCAGGTTTTGATCCAGCAGGCCCACAGACTGGATGAGGCAGGGTCCTTATTTGAAAACCTTCACTGTCTGCAAAATGTGGCTCAGTCTTTCAGCTGATGACCAAGGCTCCTCAAGATTCGATTGTTAATGTCATTTCAGGCCACTCCATCCACTGTGACTGTACACAGCCCTGTTCATGCATGATATGACAGCTGTTCCTGTCACCTCTTTCATGTATTCCAACGCCAGTCTGGAGCCCAGGGTGGGGACTGGAGTCAGGCTCAGCCAGAAGCAGAAGTCTCTGTAGAGATAAGAGCCCAGAGAAACTGAGGACCGAGACCCAGGAACCCTCAGCTTGTGCAGAGGGCTGAGGAAGAGCAGTGTGGAACCCTGGGATCTGGGAGAGGGATCAGAAGAGGCCAGCAGCCCATCGTGAAAGCAGCGGAGACTAAGCTGAGTCAGGTCGGCAGCGCTGGATGGCGTCGAGCCTTCTGGAAGGGGGAGATGAACTCTGCCGGGGTTTGGTGGCTGAGAGGTGGTGGCAGCCTTGGCAGGGCTAAGTATGTGTCTGCCCCTTGCCCATCATGCTGTGCCCTTTAGCATCGTGATCCCTGAGATCGCTGCCTCTGTGAAGCCCAGGCCCAATGTGACGGTTAATGATAGGCACGTGGCTTACCTGCCCATCCGCAGGAGGGAGTCATCCTTGACACCTCGCCTCCTTCCCCACGTCTGAGGGCAGTGGCCACATGCTGGCCATCCCAGGCATCCCCCTTCCTCCTGGGACCAGCCCTGAGGACTCAGTGTACACCCACTGCATCCCCTTGGCAGGGCAGGGCTGCCCCTGAAGGGACCATGGGGCATGGTCCTCCCCGTCCTGGCCAGGATCTCAGCCCCATCCACACTCAGACATGGTGTCAGGGGGTTACAAGAACAAGAATGCGCAGTCGGTAGAATATCTCGGTGGATGAATGCTCCTTACTTTAGGCTTCAGCCTCAATGGCCGTCACCAAGCCCAGGGATGGTGCCACGTCCCAGGGTGTGTCTTAAACTGCAGATTGAGGCTCTGGCTGTGTTCATCTCCTTCTGCCTCTTGAGTGCTGCCTGGGGTATGCTGGGCCTGTTGGCACCTGAGGCCCGAGGACCTCCGCATAGCCCACCCCTGTCCTTGCTCTGCATAGAATTTACTAACGTGGAAGGAGAAGAGATTTCTTGCATATTCTTCCCCATTCTGTTTTCTGTTGGACACTTTCTTTTTAAGTGAGATAGCCAATGTTTACTTCTCCAGTACTAGTTCATGGTTCATTTTCCCAGTTAAATGAAATTGAATAAACAGCAAAAGAAGAAAAAAGAAAAGGTCTTGGCTCGTTCTAGACAGCAAGCCAGGCTGAATCTATCAACAGTTTCCACTCAGAACAGCTCTCCAGCTTCGGGGCGGGGCGGGGATTCCGTCAGCCCAGAAGTCCTTCCAGTCCCTGATACCAGAACTGCCAGGGCTCCCCAAGGTGCCTTTCACATTTCCTTCTATGGGTTGAACACGAACCACCTGTTGACCCAGCAACTGGACTAGGACAGGGGTAGATGGGCCCTTCCCACAGGGAAATGCCCATGCCTGTCACAGAGGAATGGGCAGGGGACAGAGAGCCACCTAGAATCCATCACGAGCTAGGAGGGGACAGAGCATCACTGGGCACCACAGGGGATGCCGGAGCAAGCCCACCCTGCCTGCACCTCCTGGAGGCCACGGAGCCTCCCTGGTCTCCCTGAGGCCAAGCCGTGTCTTCCCAGGAACCAGTCACCCCTGGCAGTGGACTGTGCTGCACTGTGTGCCCGTCCCCAGCCTGGGCTCTCATGGGGACTGTGGTTTTCTATGGTGTCACCACCTCAGTGCTCATCAGTGTCTGGCACCTCATAGGTCATCACTCAGCTTATTCTCTGATGAGGCAGGCATGCCCCGTCCTTGTAGAATGTTCAGGTGGCTCCCAAGGTGGCACACACCTTGTTGAATGAATGAAGGAGTAACTGACGGCCACAGTCCCTCCCGGGCAGAAGGCGTGTAAGGAAGTGCTGTTGAATGCGTGGGAAGATGTGGCCTCCAGCCAGGAGGGGAGCTGCCGCTTGCTTGCTGGCTGGCGCAGGCAGCACTCGCTCCTTCCGCCTGGCCCATCAGCCTGGGCTCGTCCTCTACCAAAGGGTCCCAGGCCCCTGGGCCTCCCTCCCAGGCTTGTTTTCTAACCTTTCAGTCATTGTTTGCAGTTCTAGGGTCTCAATTCTTTTTCTAAATCTTTCCTGTGTTTTTTAATCCTCTTCTCAAGATCAAAGGCAGCTGTTACCATTCCCGAGCTCTCAGGGACGCTGGGCCTTAGCACGGCTGGAATCCAGCCTCACTCGGACTCTTCCAGCTTGGAGCTGTGAGAAAGGCTTGGCTGGTCAGCAGGTTCTCTACTGCCAGATGCTCCCTGAGGCTCTCGGGCCTCACTGTGGTGGCCAGTGTCGTCAGCAAGCTCCTCCTGGATGCGTAGGGCACCAGTGTCGATTCATGGCCTCTGGGGAGAGTCCTCCGAGGGCGTCTGCTCCTGCCTGGGGCGGTAGTGGTGTCATGCAGAGCTGAGCTCCTGGAGTGTGTGGGAAGACAGAACCAAGGAGAACCTTGTCCCTATGTCACCAGCTGCCCCAGCTGTATGTCTCCAGGAGCCCTGTAGCCCAGGCCTGAGTAACCCCCATGGGGCTTCCAACCCTCCTTTTTTAGTGACCCCCACCCTGGGGCTCCCAGGAGGCAGCTTGGCACCAGGAGAGGAGCCTCAACTTTGAGTCTGAACTTGGGTCCACCATTTGCCACAGTGGAGAGGCCTTGCCCACATGGCTGGTGCCAGGAGACCTTGCTGTCTTAGAACATGGGGCGAGAGCACACACAGCGTGGTTGAGGCTCTGGGCAGCCTGGTCAGGCACTGGACCGTACGAGCTGCTTGTCCACCGAGCTGTGTTTTGTAGTTATTGCTCGACATGCGTGACCACTTTCTTGCCTTCCCCAGGTCACAGACGAGGAGCCCAGCTCCAACCACACGGTCATGATCCAGGAGACCCTCCAGCAAGCCTCTGTGGAGCTGGCCGAGCAGCACCACCTGGTGGTGTCCTCCGATGACGTGGAGGGCATCGAGACGGTGACCGTGTACACCCAGGGCGGGGAGGCCTCGGAGTTCATCGTCTACGTGCAGGAGGCCATGCCACCCGTGGAGGAGCAAGCCGAGGAGCAACCTGCCCAGGAGCTCTAGGGGCACCAGCATCACACCGCAGAGCGGCCCTCCCTCTACACTCCTGTCAGTGGCCAGACAGGACCCTCCTGGTCCTCCTTGGGATGGTCAGGGCGACTGCATCACCAGCAACCCAGGAGCCCGTTTCCTGGCACAGGTGCCCCTGCCCCTGCAGTGTCTGCTGTGGAAGGACGTGCATCAGTGCACCTGCCTCATTGCCCCTTGCTTCAAGATCCAGGGACTCTGTCCCCTTCAGCATCTTTCCCAGTCCTCAGCCCCCATCTAGGTGCCGTCCACATCTGGCTCCGATGTGCGGTCTGGGGGAAGGGAGGCGGCCACCACACAGCAAGTGACCTTAGGGTCTTGAGTCCCCACTGGGCGGGTGGGTGGGATTGTCCTGGTGCTCTCCAGAGCCCTACCGTCCTCGCGTGTGGGCGCTCGTGGTCACGTGGAGTAGCCACCACCCCTCACAGGGCCCAGCTTACCATCTTGAGATTCCTTTGCTTTTAGGAAAAATGCACTTTTACTCTTCACCTGCCGTGGTGAGGCGGCGAGGTGGATGGAATAAAAGCATTCCCTGCCTGTGGTCTCCGGCTCCTTGCTGGGAGGTGGGGAGGGTTCACAGTCCCCTGCTCAGCTCCAGATCTCCGCTTGGCCCCACCTGAAGCATCCCAGGTCCTTACATTGCAGCTGGTGGTGCTCTTTCCTCCTAAGCATGTAGGTGGGCTTCAGGGTCCTCTGACTGGGGTCAGTGATCTTCTTTTTCCAAGGGGCCAGTATCTGATTCACTGCCAGCCAAGAGGTGGCAGTGCCCCTTTTCCACTCTCTGTCTGGGAGGAGCTGTAAATGGACCATTAGAAACCTGTAGGCACGGTGTTGTGTGACTAAGATCCCTGGTCTGTGCTCCTGGTAGGTCTGCTGCCTTCGAGGTAGGCCACCCAGGCGAGTGCTGCCCACTCTGGAGTCTGTTGGCATCTCCCCCACCCTCCTCAGGCTTACTGAGGTCAAGGCTGAGTGCTCTGGGATCCCTCCTCTAGCTGGGATGGTGGGCAGGTGCACAGGCATGTGGCTGCAGATACAGCAGCCCAGGGCTTGGGCTCAGAGCCTGCACCTGGCCTCCCAGTGACCACCCTCACCTGCCCTTGCAGGGCTCCCACAGGGCATCTGGGGAAGCGTCAGGGCTGCTGCTCTGTCACAGGAGGAAGTAGCCTCTGCTCCAAGGGCGTGAGGATGTGCCTGTGGCCTTCAAAGGAAGGAAGGAGAGCCCTCCCTGGAATGGCTAGGGAAGGCGTCCTGAAGAAGGGGCCTGTAAGCCACCTGCTGAGGCCGAGAGCAATTTGCTGGGGGCGGTGCCTCAGGGAAATGACATTAAATGACATTAGACAGCCAGTCCCTAGAAAGGCACAGGTGTGAGATCCAAGGTGATAGTGATTTTACCTCTGAACCCCAGGGAGACCAAGGGCCTGGGTAGACCCAGGATGAGAAGGTCAGAGCCATGCCCCTGAAGAGTCCTGTCCAGACAGCCTGTTGATAATCAGGTTCAAGTCCCGGTCCCCCAGTGCTGAAGACTGAATACCCAAGAAACGCTGAGGCAAGAGCGGAAAGTTTAATTTAAAGGACAGGAGAGAGAGGGAGACGCCTCTGCAGAGGAAGGGGTCTAAGTTGGTTCCCGAGGGAGTGGAAGTATCCCGTCCCTTTCATGTTTTAGGTTTCCTTTCTTCTCATGCCCCCTACTTACCTAGTGACCAGTGACCAAAAGTGGAGTGACCAGGGGAAGGGAGTCACCTGGGGGCTACTCATTAACAGTGCAGGCAGGTAACCTCAGCAACAGGTTGGAGGAGGGGAAGTGCTCTGGAGGGATGAGCGTTCTATTTCCTTTGGTGACCCCCCACCCCGTTCCTGACCCAATCAATCATTCGTTACCTGCACTGACTGTCCTTCTGCCTCTGGCCCCCCTGGGGTCTTGGTGCAGGTGGCCAGGCCACATGTTCAGGTGGGAGGTGGAGAGCTCGCTCCAGCCCAGTGCTCACTTCTCATCCCAGTCCTGTGACAAGTTACTAGACTGCTCCAAGCTGCCATTTACTCATTTCTGAAATAGGACTGAGGGCCATCTGAACTCCGCAGGTTATCGACAGAATTAACTGAGCAAAGCTGAGAAGCTGTTAGTACAGTACCTGCCCGCACTCTGTAAATACCAGTTATTGTTTGTGTTCGTAAGAGTGGAGGAGGTGAGCAGGAATGTCCCCCAACCCCTCCCTCAGAGGGCTTGGGATTGGTAGGGGAGAGGGTTGGAATGGGTATTGGGAGACTCCTGGAGCACTCGGTGCCCCGTGGAGGCTACAGGAGGGCTGGCTCTTCCCCAGAATGACAGAAAGGAGAGAGGAACTAAGGAATGGCTGACTGCCCTCTTGGGTAAGGTGCTGGGCAGGAGGGCCATTCCCAGGCTTTCTGGGGAACTTCCCCTGCAACTTTGCTAACCCCGTGGCACATCCCAGGGCCTATCAGAGGCAGCTTCTTTCCATCCCCCCAAGGCCCCTCTCCTCCTCTGCTCTTGGGTACTTTTTGACCCAGCTTGTCTGTGGTGTCAGGCCAGGAGAAAACCTGTGCTCACAGGCTGAGTGACCCCTCCCTCCTGCCTAATAGCATGTTCTGTGCTTACCTGGGCCAGATGCCTTGAGGCTCTTTGACAGGGTCATTGGGTCCAGGCTTCCCACCACCTGTGTCTTCGGGAGATTGGACCACAGGTGCATATGCAGTGCTGACCTTGTGCCAGGACTACGATGCTGTCACCATCACAGCTGCCCAGTGAGGTAGTGCTATCATGAGGATTTAACTGATCAGGAATGTTGGCACAGAGAGGTTAAATAACTTGCTCTGGGTCACAGAAGAAAAGACCAGGAACTGAGCCCAGGCAAGATCTGCACATGTAACCCACATGCCTCTCTGCCAACCTTTCTCTCCCCTTTAGAGCTAAGAAGATGGTGGCTGGGTGAGTGACCTGCTTTGGGTGACACTGGAGGCTAGAAAGCAAGGCACCTGGGATAGGATGCAGATGTGACGTTCCTGTGTCATGCCCTCAGGCACTTTCTGTATGCCCTGGGCCATGCAGCCTCCGGTATCTGCTTTCCTGGACACCAGGAGGGCAGAGTGAGGCCAGGGGTTGGGGCAGAGGTCAGAGGCAAGTCTCTTGTATGAAGCTAAGATGAGACCAAGTGTGACCCAGAGAAGGAACAGGAGCCCAGGGCCAGCCTGAGCCAGAGACAGGTGAGCTACTCATAGTGCCCTGTGACACTTGGGGAGAAAGCTGGACAGTGGTCAGCAGACCTGCCCCCAGAGGCCCTGGCTCTTTGCACAGGCACTCCTGAAGCTCCTCTGGCCTGAGCCCCCTCTGGATGGGCTGTTCCTATGCAGCCTGGGCTCCCCTCATAGGCTCCCATCTGTTAACCAAGGGAAAAGGCCAGGCTTTGAGTAAGGAGCGGTGCCCTGGACAGGCAGGAATGATCCGCCTCCTGTGCACAGGGCCTCTTCAGGGAGCCTCCTGTCCCTCCTGTGTTCTGCTCACAGGCAGTCCTGGGAGGGGTGAGTGCACTCAGGCAACATGCAGAGACATTCACAAAAGAGCCCCAGAGCCAGTGACCTTGGAGGTGATGTGCTGGGGCAGGGTGACCCTGGCGAGGATCCAGCATTGTGGTTGTGACCCCGGCGAGGATCCAGCATTGTGGTTGTGACCCGGCCTTCTACCTGGCCAGCAACGCTGAGGCTGACTGCGTTAGTTGCTCTTGAGTTTTGCATTTTTGAGGAGACAGTGACTCATTTTGTAACCTGTATCTACAGGACTAATTTAGCAAATTAATTTTTCTTGTAATAAGTATTTAAAATTCATTAGCTGCCGTCACTGATGATTTTCCCCTGGCTCCTCAGCTCTGTCTTTCAAGGCTGGAGAAGAAAGACCGCTTGGTTCCAAATCCATCTCCCACCCCACCCCTTTGAAAATCTCAAAGTGAACTGTCCATCCTGCCCTTGGAAGAACTCCAGGTTTGGGACAGTCCCTCCTGGTGCTGATAGTTTTGAGTCGCAGCAGGAAGTCTTTGGGAATCAATTAAGTGACTAATACTTTGCTGGAGAGAAGAGTGTGCCGAGGGGCTTGATTCACCATGCACCGCAAAGTTCTCTAAGTCAATTATTTTCAAGTCAGCTCGCCCTTCTCTTAGCCGTGACGGGACACGTTTGGATTTGATTTAAAAAATTCTAATCTATCACTGTCACCATTCCTGCTGTAATTTAAGGCTTCGGTGGTTTGTGGTAGATAACAGTTGTTACACTTCCTGCAAGGCTAAGAAGGCCGCCAGGGCTTGGCGCATTAACTACCACCAGGCTGACAAAAGGGAGAAGAAAGGACTGTGGCGACACAGGCGGTGGCGGGCCTGAGGCCCCTGGGGGAACCCGAAGTGGGGGGGCTCGCTGCCTCCCCCCTCAGTCCTGGTTCTTCCATCCTGCACCTCTCTCCCGACTGCCCACACCAGACCTATGGGTCCGAGACACCCCAGACAGCAGCCCTGCCCCGGGGTGTGTGACAGGGACAGGAGAACTGGGAAGGGGCCAACTGGTGGCAGAACTTCCCAGGTGCTAGATGGTGGTGCACCACAAGGCCTTCGGGCTTCCCTGGCTCCTGTGCTCGCAGGTCCCAGCATGGCCACTGGTCTTCAACTGAGTCGGGGCTCGTACACCTAGCCACTGGCTCTCTGCAGAGAAGCTTGGGGAGCAGCTGACCCAGTGCTGGGTCCGAGGTCAGAGCCCCATGCAGCAGTCCCCCAAGCCACAGGGTGGGCATCAGTGAGAGGAGGCACCTTGGCTTCCTGGCCTAGCACAAGCATCCCACAGGCCACTCCTCTGAAAGATATCACCACCTCCACCAACAAGGATTGTTGGAGTCCTTGAAGTCACTGTCATCGTTTTTACTCTGTGAGAGCCACACTTATCCTGAGAGTGGCAGAGAGGCTGGAGGGGAGGAGTCAGTCCCCTCGAGCTGCTGTGACCAGATGCCTTAGACTGGTGGCTATGGAGAGCAGACAGAACTCCTCACAGTTCTGGAGGTTGTCAAGTCCAAGAGCAAAGTGCTGGCGGACTTGGTGCCTCAGCTTGGATCTGGAGGGTCCTCCAGGGGCCCGTGTGTTAAAGGCTTGGTCCCCAGGCTGGTGCAATTGAGAGCTGGGGGAACCTTTAACAGGTGCAACCTACCAGGAGGTTTGAGGGGGATTACGGGACCCAGCCCTTTCTTTTCTCTCCTTTTTACTTCCTGGCCACGGGAAGAGCAGCTCTCCTTCGCCACATGCTCCCCACAGATGTGCTGTCTTGCCACAGGGCCAAGCAACAGGGCCGATGGATCATGGAACCTTCAAAACTGGGAGCCAGAATGAAGCCTTCTGTTGTTAAGTTGATTATTACAGGCCTTTCATCGTCGTGATGTGGCTGGTGGGGCCCCTTCCTCATAGCTCCTTCGAGGTGCAGCCTCACGTGGTGGAAGGGAAGGACCAGCTACTCAAGGCTCTTCTTTTTCTTTGTGCT